TCTAATTAAGCATCCATGTATCACTTTTGATGAAGTTAACAATTGATCTCGGAAATTCATCACAATTGAGGAATACACTCGATCCTATAAATCTTTATCTCCTAGGGAGAATTTGTAACCAAACTTGGAGGGAAGAAGGAGTGAACAGGAAAAGAACAAAGGTGTACAAAATTGAGGTTCAATTTCCATCACCAAGTTTGGCAGATCAAAACCAATCACTTCCTTAGTTAAATCTACTAAGAGAAACCTATAAACACCTTTTACTTTAGCTAGATCATAAATCTTGATGCAAAGAATAAAATGGAGCTAAAGAGGCCAATGGTAATGTATAGCTCAATAGCAACTTGAGATTATTCAAGGTATTGTGATTTTTATCAGCATCACAGCCATACCACCAAAGAGTGCAATCACTTGAAGATGGAGTTTGAAAGCTTAGCTTATAAAGGCATGCTAAATGAGTACATTTTGAACAAAGGCCCACCCAAATTTATTAAAGATCACGAACCTCAATTTTAAGGACCTCAAATTACAAATGATAAGGATGACATTAAATATAAACAAGCCTCAATACCTCTTTCACCTCGAGCTTGAGTTATCCACATGATAATTTGAGGGCTTGAAGTTGGCAATTTAAGTTTAAAAACACATAAGTTATACGTTAGAGAAGTCAAATATTAAAGTTGAACTCAAAAGATGAAATTTGATGAATTGGACCGACGAAATCAACTTATAACTTTCACATTGGTTGATTTCCATGGTGTTATCACAACTCAAAATGATCCCTTGGTTACTTCAATTATAGTCAACAATTGTGCAATTTAGCAAGTTCTTATCAACATAAACAGTGTGTTTGATATCTTATACCACCATTGTTTTGAAAACTTTAGCATTGACAAAGTTCAAATTTAGAAATATGACTACCCCATGTATGGTTTCAATAACCAATTAGTCTTAGTTGAAGGTGTGATTACACTCACTCTAGTGTTTGATGAAGGTCAAATGTATGTTACTCTTTCAGTTCGATTTTTTGTAATAAAAATGGCTTCTTCCTTCAATGTTGTGATTGGCCACCTAACTTTAATCAAAATTTAAGTTGTGGTTTCACAATCCCATTTATGCATGAAATTCCCAATTCCTATAGGTATAAAAGGGTAACCAAGATGTAGCCAGACGTTGTTATATGACGTCTCTTGATCTCGAAAAAGTAAAGAAGTCAACATCTAGCTAGATCCTCAGACATCAAGTGCTTCACAAGTGATGGGAATTGAATTGATTAATAACAGACCTAAAGATAAGATTAGATCCACCCCATTAAAAGAGGTTGAAAAGGTGCAAATTGATGACAAGGAAGGAGGGAGAAAAACTCATATTGGAACTAAGCTCAATCCATAATAAAGGGAAGACTTAATTAATTTTCTCCAACTCAGTAAAGATGTTTTCATGTGGACTTCAGTTAATATGCCAAGGATCCCCACTGTGGTAGCTACACATAAATTGAGCATTGACCCTTTGAAGAAACTAGTGGCTTATAAGACATGCCCTTTTAGAGGTGAAAGTCTTCAAGTTATTAAAGATGAAGTGGAAAAGCTTTCATGAGCTGCCTTTATAAGAAGAATGGACTATTGTGAACAGATTGCCAATCCAATTCTAGTCAAAAACTCAAACGGTAAATAAAGGATGTATATAGCCTATGTTGACTTGAACAAGGCCTACCCAAAAGATTGATACTCAATGTTGAGCATAGAAAGGCTGGTTGAAGTAGTTTTAGGGAACGAGAAGTTAAGTCTCCTAAATGCATACTTCGGATATCATCAAGTTTTTATGACCCTTGAGGATAAAGAGAAGAACTCTCTTTATGTTAGAGACAAAATTTACTGTTATGCAATGATGCTTTTTGGTATAGAAAATACAAGTGCAATATATAAAAAGGTGGTGACTATAGTGTTTTGAGCTTAAATAGGTAGGAACTTGGAAGTCTACATATATAACATTGTTGTGAAGAGTCTAAAAGTGGAGGACCATCTAGCCAAGGACCATTTAGCTGATTTACAAGAGACATTTGATAATTTAAGGAGGAACATAATGAAGTTGAACGTTGCTAAATTCACATTTGGTGTTGAGTCTAAAAGTTCTTAGGATTTATGGTTTCTAGGTAAGGGATAGAGGTTAATCCTAAGGAAATCAAGGCGATTAAGGAGATAGAACCTCCAAAATCTATCAAAGATGTTTAGTGCTTGACAAGTTGAATAACAACTCTTCATATATTCATCTTGAAGTCAACTGTGAAATGCCTCCCTTTCTTTAAGGTCATGAGATAAGTAGTACAAAAGGAATAGATGGGTAAGTTACAAAAAATTAAATGGAGCTAAAAATGTCAAAATGCATTTGATGAGTTTAAGTCCTATCTTAACTCACCATCTTTATTGACCAAAGCCATTGACGGCAAAATTTTGTATTTATACCTTGACATCATAGATGAAGCAATTAATTTGTTATTAGTACAAGAGGGAGGTAAGTAACAAAAGTCGATGTACTACATTAGCAAAGTGTTATAAGGGGCTGAATAATGATATCCATTAGCCTAAAAGACAACTCTTGCAATTGTCATCTCAGCACGAAAGTTAAGACCATACTAACAATCTCATCCAATAATTGTGCTTAAATATCAACCTCTTAGATAAATATTTCAAAAGCCAAAATGTTTAGATAGATTAATCAAGTGGGTAGTTAAATTAGTAGCATTTAAAAAAATATTTTAGCAGCGAATTGTCATTCGAGCTCAAGCAATGCTAGACTTTGTGGTAGAATGCAGTTCTAACTAGTCGACCTTTACCACCAAAGTGAATAGCTGGACTTTATATGTAAATGGAATTTCTAATTACAAAAGATTTGGCACCGAAGTTGAATTAATTGGCCTAGATGGATTATAAAGTGAGCACACCCGCCTTGTTACTTGGACTTCAACTTGTAACTAAGCTTAATGTCAAGATCATTCAGATTTGCAGCGACTCTTAATTAGTAGTTAACCAGGTAAATTCAGTGTGTCAAATCATTGAGCCTACTTTGGCAAAGTATGTAACTATGATTTTAAAATTGAAAATTTGTTTTGAAAAGTTTTGGTTGATGAAAATACTCAAAGTCGAGAACGAGCAAGCAGATTCTTTGTCAAAACTAGCCTCCAATAGTTTTAATAGGGGAAAGTCAATTAATATTCAAGTGTTAAACAAGCCAAGTTTTCCAAAACTAAGGTCAAAAGAAATTAGCACTTATCCAAATACTTTGAGCTAGATGGATCTAATTAGGTCATACATCTGAGACAATTTAGCTCCAAATGACAAGTAAGCAGAAATGAAATTGAGAAGGAGAATATCTTGGTGCACCTTAATTAATGGGGTCCTCTGTAAGAGATCATTTTCACTTCCTTTACTTCAATGCCCAACTCTTTATGAAACCAAATATGCATTTCGCAAAATGCATGAAGATGTATATGAAAGTTACGTGGGTGCCAGAACATTAGCTCACAAAGTCTTGAGGTAAGAATACTATTGGTCGAACATGTTAAAAGATACAAAAAAAAATTTGTACAATGATGCTTAAAGTGTCAATTCTTTGCTCATTTTACACATCAACCAATAGAAGAAGAAGAACTCATTAACTTGGTAGCATTGTGACCTTAACCTTTTAGGTTCATTTGTAAAAGGTGTGGGACGTGTGACACATTTAGTGGTTACTATAAACTACTTTACAAAGTGGGTAGAAACTCAACCTTTATCAAACTCAACCTTTATCTAGCTTGACTTCGAAAAAGATGGAGGCCTTTGTCTTCGATGTAATAATATACAGATATGGAATCTTGAGCCAAATTGTTGCTAAGAATGGAGCTTAATTCAATTGCATTTCATTTAAGAAATTTTACTTTGACCATATGCTTGAGCTCAACTTTACCTCAGTTTATCACTTAAAAGCCAATGGCTTAGTAGAGTCTATGAACAAAGCTATATTGGAAAGAATCAAGCCCAAGCTAGATCAATTTAAAGCCAAGTGGGTAAACAAGCTCAACAATGTTTTGTGGATTTATTGAACAATGAGCTAAACAGTTACAATGAAACACTTTACCACTTGGCTTTTGGAATTGAAGCAATTATTCCTGTTGAGATAAAATAGTAGTATTAAGCTTATGGGTCATCCAGTTTGATGAGATATGAAATGGACAATTGATTCATGAAAACCTAGACTTATTTGACGAAGTCTAAGAGAAAACTTGACTTTGAACTTTGTGCTACAAACATAAGTTAGCAAATTTTTACAATAAATGAGTTCGGTCTCAAACATTCAAAATCCCCACCTTGTCTTAAGAAAGGTAGGCTTATTGGTTTTGAAACTCCTTTTGGCGAGTTCGCTCCAAATTAAGAAGGCCTTTACACCATTATCAAGATTTCCCATCCAAGTGCCTAGGACTTTAAGATGTTGAAGGAAGAGAGTTCTCAAAAAGTTTCGAATGAAAACAATTTGAAGTTCTTTCCTTAAACTTCTTTGTCATTTTTTTCCTCCCTTTGTTTTTCATTGTCAATATATAGAGCCAAAATCTTAGTTTATTCTATCAATTTAATTTCTTATAATATATCGCTGAGATCCATAAGCTAGTTTAGCCTCAACTATCGTCCTATTACTTTTACCCTATGTAAAGTAACAAGTTTGATCAATTAAAATTCAACAAAAAAAAAAAAAAATCAAATGTCCAAACATACTTCAAAAAATCAAAATAACAAGTTCAAAATTCCATAGAAACATTAAATATCGTTAAAATTAATTTCAAAATACAAATTTAATTTAAAAATGCAAGATAGCTGAGATGGAGTTATTTAATAGGTTAAAACCCTTTTTTGGTCCCTGAACTATTGTACGGACCCCCGATTTGGTCCTTAAACTAAAAAAACCCTGATTTGGTCCCTACTGTTTACCATTTTTACCCCGATTTGGTCCTTCCGTTAAAATCTCACCGTTATCTCAGACAATTTAATGACATGTCAAACATTTGAGACACATCAGTTGTATAAATGAATAAATAATGACATGGCAACGTGACATGTCATCTCCTTGCCCAACCAACAAAAGTGGGACCCACCAAAATTACGAATTTGCCATCATCTTCTTCCTCCAGCAAACAAACCCAGCACCAAACAAAACCAGCACCTAGGTTGAATCGAACCCAACAATGCCCTTTTTTGTTTCCTTCCTCTTCCTTGCCTTGCTTTCTTCATCATCATCAAACACATCATCATCATCATCATCAAACACCAAAACCACAGAAAAAAAAAATATTTTTTACCCTTGGGTTCTTCGAACCCAGGCGTGGGTTGGAACCCAGGCGCTGGGTTCGAAGGACCCACGCCTGGGTTCCCAGGCGAACCCACGCTTGGGTTCCATGGAACCCACGCCTGGGTTCCATGGAACCCACGCGCTGGATTCCCAGGCGTGCGTTCCCCTGGGAACCCAGCACTTGGGTTCTAGCGTGGGTTGGAACCCAGGTGTAACCCTTGGGTTCCTGAACCCAACCCGGGCAAGCGTGCTGGGTTCGCAAGGAACCCAGCGCCTGGGTGGGTTCAAAGGAACCCAGGCCTGCTGGGTTCCGAGGGGAAAGAGAAGGGAAAGGGGAAGGAGAAAGGGAAAGGGAAAGGGAAAGGAGAAGAAGAAAGAAAAAGAAAAAAGAAAAAAAAAGAAAAAAAAAATTTTATTTTTCATAATATTTTTTTATATTATTATTTTTTCCACATCATCACTTTTTGACTATATTATCTTCCACGTGGATTATTAAATGACATGTCATCGTGTTCCCGTTAATTAACAGCACATGTCACTAGATTTTTAACGGAAGGACCAAATTGGGGTAAAAATGGTAAACAGTAGGGACCAAATCAGGGATTTTTTTAGTTCAGGGACCAAATCGGGGGTCCGTACAATAGTTCAGGGACCAAAAAGAGGTTTTAACCTATTTAATATGGTGGTGTTGTTGATCCACCTCGTTGTTCTAGATATTGTCCCCTATAGTTAGACCTCCAACGTCCTCTATCTCATCGTCATTTACAACAACAAATTTGAAGTTGAAGTTTGGAGGAAAGATGGTGCAGTGATTGCTATCTTGATCTCACTTCAATATCACCTCTGGTTGTTTAACTTTCACCATCTTCTTTCAACCCATTTTCTTAAGGTCCAAAAGTAACGCTTGTCACATCCACTTTAAGATGTTGAGCCTTTACTCTTTTCCTATAGTCACTATTGAAGGCTAAAACCATGGCTAGCAGTGGGTAGAGGTCCACTATGTTCCCAAATGTGCTTGACTTGACGAAATCAAAGATGTGCTTCTCTAGAACGTTATGGATTTGCACTTCAACATCACATTCCATTTCTTCCATTTTTCTACCCATCCCAACTATCTTATTGTCCTTCTTGGATGACTCTTCCTCACATGTTTTCTTTTCTGCTCAACAAGTTTAGTAGCCTTCTTCATCATCTCCATTTCACCTCGAAGCTTGAAAAGCTCAATGGTCAAATTTTTAATGTTTTTCTTAGCTTCCTCCTTTTTCTTGCTAAATTTTTTCCTTGTCTTTTATTAGTTTGTCTCTCTCTTTCAGAAACTTCACATACTTGTTTGCCATTACATTAGTAATATTCACTTCTTACATCAAACACTTAAGATGCTATACCCATATTAAAAACACAAGGAATAGTAACACAGAGATCTTTTACTTTAAGAATATGGTAAACTACGCTTTCTCCACCAATCACCTCCATGTCGCTCTTGGCTTGATCCAAGTCGAGTTTAGGAAAAGTGGCACAATAAAGCACCTACCAAGGTTTTATTGGTAGGGTCGATGAAAGTATACCCCTTAGGATATTGAGTATGAAGTAGAACAAACACATTTCCCCTTCCATTTGTTATAACCCTAACCTTTATGTTAAAAGATCCAATGTTGACCTCAAAAGGCCAAGGTACTATCTTGACTTTAGAGGCATCATGCTAATGTTGCTCTTCCTTTTCTTTGTGCCTTTTTAAGGCTATAACCTCTTTCCTAGCCCTCCTTTTGTTCAATTCCACAAGTCGCTGCACAGCTTAGGTATTCTAGTTTCCCATGTTTACAACTAGAGTAATTCAAGTTGTAATGGTTATAGGTAAAGGCATAAAACTCCCTACTCCAACCCTCTCTTTTGTCTTAACCATAATAAACCCCTTAGACTTTTTCTTCAAAAGGGTGGCTTGACCAATAGTTGCTAGCAAGTGGTTCACCTCAACTATAAAATAAGTAAAAGTTAAAATTTAAATAGAGCATATCTTTGAAAAAAAAAAAAAAGTAAACTGAATTATCACACATGTCCACTCAACAAGCTTGTCCTATATAGCTCGATAGTATCAATGAGGTCAACGTTAGTGAAGTGAAAAATGTCTAGTACATTATCTTCTACCCTAATCAAACTTTTCATCTTAGTTGCCTCTATTGAGTTTATGCCATATTTATTCGGGTTGTCTCTTTTCTCTTGCCAATTGCATAAAGCTTCAACCTCAACATCAAACTTGGACCATATGGTGTCATTTGCAAAAAGAATTTATCTTTACACTTTTTAATTGAGGATGAACTAACACTAAATAAATCGTAGTTCTCCTTATGAAACACTCGAGTTGTAAAATAATACCAACCTTTCTTTTTATTGCTACATACTTTTATTATGTAAAAGTACTTAAACATATTTATACTTGGGTTAGCTATACCTCAAGTTCAATAATACACCAAAAAGGCAATTATAAACCAAACTGTATTAGGGATGAGCTGAGTTAAAGCTATGTTGTAATCAATTAACAAGTCAAAGAGTAGCTCAAGAATTGGAAACTTAAGCCCGATCATTAGATAATGGGCATAAAAAAAGCATCCAATAATCCTTTAAAGCAAAGCACGTCTTCTCTTCTTTTCGAGTTGACCTCATCAACATATAGGGTTTGATCCCATAATTATCCACTAAGTGTATAAGGCTATTCTTACTCTTCTAAGAAGCCTCATATGCCATTACTTTGGATACAAGTGAGGCTAAGCCATTAAAACAACTTGTTTAGCTAATGTTTGCTTCTAGTATGTTGGATAAAATGCTAACCTCGACCACCTTACATGTTGAGTTCAGCCCCAAAGAACCTTGCCTCTACATCGTCCCAATCCTCATCTTAGCCTTTAAGGCAGGCTTCTACCCCTCCCCCAACACTCAATGTTTCTTTGAAAGACATATATCCACTGTCTTGTAACTCTCGCTATAAAAAGTATGAGGTGGAACATATATGGGATGTTGGGTGAGCTCAATCTCATGTTCAATCTCACTCTTCGATCTAACCCTAACTTCCCTAAGAAGACTTAAGCTTCCTCAAGACTACTTAAGCCTAAATCTAAAAGTGTTAAAAATAAACTTGACTCTTCACTTAAACTAAAAACAGAGTTCATAAGATTGTTATTTGATCTTGGAAGGTTGAATTGCAATATTGATTTTAGGAAATAGCTGTTGTGCACAAAGGTAATGAAGCTTGGATGCTAGTATAGCTTTGGTGAAATTTTGGCAACACTTTGGTAATATTATGGCACAGTAACTCAAAATAACCCTAAGTGCCCCTATATATAGACAAGACTAGCAATGCTCAATGGTCACGATTTATCGCATCTAATGGCTGATATCGCACCCTTTTAAATTTGAAGTTATTCCCAATCGCACTCATTATGATGGCACAACTTCCAAAGATGACTGCCAACTATCACCACAACTATTTTCCAACCTAATAAATGGGCCCATTGAGGCCCAGCCCAAAACACATGGTTATGAATTATGCATTTTTATCTCAACTACGACTAAAACACATGACTATGTGTCATGAATTTTTACCTTGGCTACGGCCAAAACATATGACTACATGTCATGAATTTTTACCTCAGTTATGACTAAAACACAATTACGTGTCATCAATTTTTACCTTAGTTACGGCCAAAATATATGACTGTGTTATAAATTTTTATCTTGGCTATGACCAAACACATGATTACTTATCATAAATTTTTATCTCAGCTAAGTCATCACACATGACTACGTGTCATGAAATTTTATCTTAGTTACAAACAAAATACATAACCCCGTGTCCTACATTTTTATCTTGGTTTGAACACAAACACGTACCTACTTTCCCAAAATGAACTGCCCTTCTCTAACTTACCAACCTCATCATTCATTAATGAATGACTTGGGGGGAAGGAATAAGGTAAGTACAAGTCTAAGCTCAATGAGCTTAAACATCCTAAAACATGTAAAAAAGCTCTATAATTCTCAAAATAGTTAAAGTTTGATTCAGGTCAAATATTACCGAGGTCAAATGACCCAATAGCCCAAGTCGAAGTCCCCTTTTTCTAGTTGCATGATAGTTACAGTGAGATCATACCTATCCAATCTCCATTTCCTAGATTTTTGCTCTACCAACCATTTCATATTTTGATTATTTCACCAAGAAGGCCACATGGATATGTTCTCAAGGCCTATAAATACCCCTTGAGGAACTCTTGTTGGGGAACTAGAATCCAACCTAAGGCTTTCTTGAATCCCAAAGCCCAACCTTGGAGCTTTGCAGGATAACCATATCAAGGAGCTGAAACCGAAGGAAGATTGGAGATTTTGTGCATTTACAATGACCTTTCACAATGAATAGTTATGTCTATTCATTTAAATTATATGGATATATACATTCAATTAATAGTCATGTCCCTTCAATTAATAGTCATGTACCATAAAAAAAACTCTGAATTCAAAACTAAATTCATTTCTATGCTTAAAAGTTAAGACAATTTGTCTAACAATCTCAAGCCTACAATACCAACTTTTTAAATTACTTTGAATATTTAATTATAATTATTTTGGTACCTTTTCCAATAAAATATCCAACACTATATATTTGCCAAAAAGAGTGTAAAGTATGTTAACTCTATTTTACAATTTAAATTACAAGAAATTATAAAATAAAAATTACTAAATAAAAAAATACCTAATTAATCCTCATATAATAATTAATACTGTATGATCAGGTAGAATCCAAACTACACAATATTATTTTCATAGAATATTTGAAAAATCTTTAGCTTCTGACAATTAAATAATTTAAATAGTTGTCTAGGCAAGTTGACTAGGAGCAGGCAACATGCAAAAAGGAGACAGCATCCGAGGAAAAGGGCAAATGGTTAAGGCTACAAAAACAAATTGTAGAGAGGTCACGCAAATTTCTGTTTTTTGTTTTTTGTTTCTTTTCATGAAAATCAATTATGGTAATTAAAAATATTTGTGTATAAATTAATTTTAATTTATAAAATAATAAATATTAATTATTTTATTATTTATTAACTAAAAATTATAATTATTAATTATTTTTTTAAATAGTTAAATTAAATGTAAGTTACTTTTAACTTATCAACTTTATGTGACTAAAATAATTTATTGTATATCCATAATATTAAATTTGTTGTAATGCCCCA